GTACTATGCAGTTGTGTGCGGAGCCAAGACGGTGAGGTTGATTTTCTGAGTAGTTTTACCTGATTGAATCTTTTCAATGGTCGTTATGAGTGAGATATAGCAGGATAGATGTCTGCAGGCCCGAAAGACGTCGATGAATGCAAAGAAGAGGTATTCTCTGATATTTCTTGCTGGGATTGTTGGCTGTTGTATCTTCGTGGCATTCAGAATCATCACAGAGTCCAGCTCGCGTTCTTCAAATGTCAACGCGCGACAACCCCCGTATTTAGATCTTTACAAGCCGTCTTTTATCAATGTTTATGATGAATATAGACTGGATAATGTTTCTTCGACGATCCAGCGTCCATGGACTGGAAATTCTGAAAGAACTAACTCGAAATCATGTTCWATGGAAGATTGTTTTGACAAAGCCCGGTGTCTTCACAGCTTCAAAGTTTACGTGTATCCCATCCAGCCGGGGCAAAAACTCTGCCCCGTATTTGCAAAGATCTTAAAAGTTTTAAAAGAGAGTAGTTTTTATACAGACGATCCTAAGCAAGCATGCTTACTTGTGCCAAGCGTGGACTTATTAGATAGAGACAGATTGAGTTCTGATTACGTTCACGATGTGAGCAGCAAAATTCGAAATCTACCATTCTGGAATTCGGGTCGAAATCACATCATTTTTAATTTATTTTCTGGTACATGGCCTCATTACTCTGAACATTTGGGGTTTGACTACGAAAATGCAATCTTAGCAAAAGCCTCTATGTCTACCGATCTTCTCAGACCGCAATTTGATATCAGTCTTCCTTTATTTCCAAAGACGCATCCACAAAAAGATGGCGTGAACTTACCTCATTCTAAACTCATTTTCCCTCTCGAGCGGAGGTATAAATTAGCCTTTAAAGGAAAGCGGTATCTACATGGTATAGGTAGTGCGACTAGAAATGCACTATATCACATTCACAACGGCAAAGATATTATTTTGCTAACGACATGTAAGCATGGCAAAGGATGGGAGAAGCTGAAAGACGAGCGCTGCGATAGAGACAACGCACTTTATGAAAGGTAAGCCTAAGCTTACTTTTACGCCTGTAAATCGATATTGCTTCTGAATTTGTTATTGTTTCTGAGGCGAGTTGAAATATTAACGCCTTCAAACGTATTCAAAACTGTAATTTTCCTTTGGTGTCGGCTACATTTGTGATGAAAGTGAATTCAAAAGCACAAAAATAGCATCGCGTGTTCCTTTGCTTTGCTGTAGGTGCAAATAGCCGTCATGTCTAAACCTTTACTTTGAAAACATTTACAAATTTGCATTGSTATACAGTACAGTATTTATCTCAGCGCTGTTGGCATACGCCGAAAAAACGCAAAAATAAACGTGTTATCGCTCTTTAATATTAACAAGATCAAAAGATAAGTGAAATTTTGTATATTTTAACACAATTTGGAGGGTGAAAACTCAGTCTCCTAACACTTGACATATTGAATTGTCAACATCGTATTGTACTGTTTACTTTGTGAATGCTTCACAAAAGCTATAATCACATACTGCGAATTGGTCCTTTGGGAAGGAATTTGTGAGCCTAATGATTACTGCTGAACAATTTTCCAATCATTGTACTGAATAATAACCGTAAATTTTTGATTCTTTTTGTCTGAGAGAATCTCTGGGAATTTATTTCAAAAGTCGTGGATTTACGTGGGATCATTGATCTATTGATCAAAAAACTAAATTAATTCTAATTTTTAATTGAGTGTGACTAATCTCATTTGGTTTTCCAAAATGAAATATAAACCATAGAAAAGCAGTTTAAATCCCATTTTAGCTCTTAGGGAAGCCTATCGTTTTTCACTGACCTTCAAAACTGTGGTTTGTAACATGTCAAAATATCATATATATTTTTTTAACCCTTTTAAATTCCCTAAGCTCAAGTTCTTGATAATGGATTAATAATTCAAAGATACACAGATTTTATGATTGCAAATATAATGTTTTGAAGTGGTGGTTTTCATGAGATATTTTATTTAAAAAGTGCTGAGATCTAAATGCTTAATTGTTGTATTTGACCCTATCACTTAACAGTACTAAAGTGGGATATAGAAATACAAATACAATACTACTAAATTTACTATTAAATGGTGTAAAATTACAAGCTAATATGATTTAAACTTGTTAATTCCCAGGTATTCCTATGAAGAATTACTGCACAATTCCACATTCTGCCTTGTGCCTCGAGGACGACGTCTCGGGTCTTTTCGCTTCCTAGAAGTTCTCCAAKTTGGGTGTATTCCTGTCCTTTTAAGTGATGGATGGGAGTTACCTTTCTCAGAAATATTAGACTGGAAGAAAACTTTGATAAATGGCGATGAACAACTTTTGATGCAAATTCCAGGAATTGTAAGATCTTACAGTAAGAGTCAAGTACTAGCCATGAAGCAGCAGTCTTTGTTTTTATGGAATGCTTACTTTTCATCCATAGAAAAAATTGTTTTAACAACAGTGGAGGTGAGTGTTGATAAAAGATTTTAAAAATGAAAAGCAACATCAAAGGACCACATGCACCCAAGATTCTTTTCAGGCATTTCCTTTGTTTTGCAAATCTTTTGTTTAAAGGTGCTTTCTGATTGGTTAAAAATCTAAGTTCATCTTATTGGCACACTCTTGATTCCATAAACTGTTCAATCTCCAGTGGACCCACAAGCTCAATAAAGCCAGTGAACACTCTTATACTCCTAAAGCCCAAGCTTGACTTTAAAATTAATGCAATTCTTACTTCTTAGATTATCAGGTCGAGACTATTAAAATCCAAAGCCGCTAGTTATGCAATGTGGAACAACTATCCAGGAGCACTCGTGACATTGCCGTTTTATTCAAGAGATCTTCAGGACTTTCCTTTCTATCATGTCAAACAAGGCATCAAAAGTTCTCGTTTCACAGCAGTAATTTATACAAAATCTACAGGCATAAAAGAATCTTCCTCATTATACAAGCTTATACAAAATGTTGCCGAATCGAAGAACGCTGCAAAGGTAAATACTAAAACTATGAAAAACTTAATTAAGTAATTAAGTAGTGCTAAATTGTATTATAAAGTAACTACTATATAATGTGCCAGTTGATTGGTTGAAACATGCAAAAAGCCCTTGTTCCTCTGAGAGCATAGAAAAAAGGCTTTCAAGTAGAAGAGTTGTTGTAAAAGCATATAAAAGCATTAGTAGACATTCTCCATATGTCCATTCTCTCTTGGATTGTTGTGAGAACATGAGAAAGGTTTTGGAATCATGAGCTTAACGGAGGAAAAATGGAAAATATCGTATTATGTTTAGCTGAATTATGTGAATTCTTTTTTTCCTTTTGTCTAATACTATATTGCTATATTTAGCACTATATGGTTAGTACTTTTTAACACTTTAGTGCACTCTAGAGTATCACACTTAAACCCTGCAACTGTACAGACTAAATAGTGCTATTTAGTTGTATTTAGTAAATTGTGCAAGCAGTACGCAAATTAAATTGAATTGATACAAATGAAGCATTCAATACCATCTTGCTTCAGGTGCACTTTTAGTACAAATTAGCACTACTTAGATTTTGTACAGCTACACGGTTTAAGTGCGATCACTCTAATGTTTGTTAAAATATAGTGCAAAGTATAGTACATTTCAGCAGACAATTTATTAGGTATTCAAAGCATTAGGACCTTTTGATCCTGTATAATATCTTTTAATCATTTTTTTTAACATTGATAACATCAATATTGTGTTTTTGTCCAAAAATAGATAATAGTTATGTTTGTTTTTGATTCTAGATTTTAATTCTATGGATGTCAGATTCRCCGATTCCTGAAAACAGAAGATGGCCATCTGTAAGGTTGCCATTAATGATTGTCAGGCCAGATGTAAAGGTATTATTTGAAGATATCATACTTAATGTGTATGGCAGGCAGGCAGAGGGGGGAGGGGAGGGCAGTTAATGAGATTGGGAATAACAACATAAATATTTGTCATGTATAGGTGACATTGCTTTCATTGCTTGGTTGCCAATCTTAAACATCCTTCTTATTTAATCCTTCTTACCAAATAAAATGGTCTTGTCCATAGAGATTTTGTGCCCTTAGATCAGTTTTACATGAGTACTTCAATGCCTTGCAGTTCTGCCCAAGTCTGCATTTTTGCAAGATCTGGGGCCTCACAAGAAAATTTAGCCTGTGTTTTCAAATTCACTATTTTTTTTAATTCTTCAAATGGAGAGGTCTGCTGTAACCCCTTTGTGTGTGGATGTTGTTAGCATCACATATACTGTATAAACATAATACTTTGAATTTGATTTGATTTTCAGAATCCAAATAGCAGGTTTTTACCAAGGTCTATTATAGAAACAGATGCCATTTTATCACTGAATGGAGATGTAAAGTTGAATGTTGATGAGGTGAGAAGACATGAACAGTTTTGGGGTTCTCCAGTATATCATGCTAGCCTTAAATAAAATACTGTGCACAAAATATCCCTAAATACTGAGATTTATCATATGACCCGTATTTCGGCCCTACGCGCGCTCTCACTGAAACCTTTGGAAAATGGTCACGTGATGGGGTCCGTACGCCTTTTCGCGACAGGTCCGTACAAACCCGTATTTTCCCGGCTTGAAGTTCTGCGCGCTTTTATTTATTTATTTACATTAAAAAATGCTGTCATATGATAAAATGCTTATTGACTGAGTTAGGTCGGGCCGTACGGGAAAATATTTGGCTCTCGGTCATTTGTACGGACCTCGCTGCGCTCGGTCCGTACGGCATAACCTCGAGCCAAATATTTTCCCATACGGCCCTCCCACTCAGTCAATAAGTACATAGTATTGATAAAAATGTGAGATTTTTGAAATCAGTCTTTAATTTAATTTATAGCTTTGACTCTATAAGTTTGGGCAGGGACACCAGGGCTTGAAATAATGACCAGGCATATGCAGGACAAGATGTCCTTCCAAATTCATTTTTGGAAGGTCATGTCGAGTTTTGAAAGGACAAAAACTTTATTATACTGTTATTTTCTTTTAACTCATACGTTTTTGTATCCAGAAAGATCAACAAGCATTTTAATAGATGTAAAAGATTTTTTATGGGAATTGAGAATTGATTTGTTTAAAAATATGGCAGGTCAATTTGCCCTTTCAAAATCCGATTTGGCCGGTTATTTAGCGAATTTGGAAGGACATTGTCCTTTGACCGGCCATGGACACTTACTGTGGTCCCTGTACTCTCACACCCACTACCAGTACCTCTACATTAAGTATTTTAGCACACAGCACTCCTCACATGTTGATTTTTGAAAAACCCTTGTGGCAAGGGAGAGAGCAACACATCAAACAAACTCAAACTCACATATGGTCCATGCCTGGGAATCGAACCCGGACCACAGCAGTGAGAGGCCAGCAGCTTAACCACTAGGCCACCCCTTCTACCATATGATATGATCTTTCTTCCTAAATTTCTATTWTCCTAATTTCAGGTGGATTTTGCTTTCAATGTATGGAAAGACTTTCCACAGAGAATTGTGGGTTTTCAGTCTAGAGATTATTATGAAAAGAAGCATAACGGCAAGACACAATGGATGTACTCATCWGTACATAGTAATGAGTTCTCAATGGTGTTGACTACCAATGCCTTYTACCATAGGTAAAACAATATTGTAAAATAATGCTGCTTATATCATTTTCAAATTAATCGTATTGCTAACTAAACTGTGRTYAAATTCATCAATCCCTTTTCACATTGGAATTGAAACTGACCCAGCAACAAACACAAAATCAAATATATTTACTAAATTTATTARCTTTTCCTGATGAAAATGYAAACAAAAAAACATAACACAAGGCAAGTTCCTATACATATCACAGCAATCAATGCTCTATATAAAACGGAATATTTTTGCTTGTCYGACATARCAACAGTAACTAGGGAGGTAGGACAATGAATCSGGATCGKTCAATCCTGGTGTCATAAGATTTACAGTTTTCCACATCTATATGTCAATATTATTCAAAGGTTGCTACCATAATCACTGCAGGCTCAACCACTGTCTTGCATTGATGCAAAGGCTTGGCCACCTTGATGGCACTAGAAACTGTCAAAACGGAGTATTGTTGCACAGTTTCTAAAACTTCGGCTGCTGAGATTTTGACCTACTTTGTTACTTATTATGACAGTCTGCATTAACCATCTTTTTTTGCTCTTTCTCTCTCTAGATATTATAACTTCCTCTACACCAATCATCTTTCAAAGAGAATTCACAAAATGGTTGAGCATAAAGGAATGTGTGAGCACCTTGCCATGAACTTCCTGGTCGCCGACTCAATRCGACTCCCACCAATCAAAATCCTTCCTTCCAAAAACTACCACGAAGGAATTGGGAAAAATACCAAGCGTTCAAAATTGCTGCARCACTTTGCCAGTTTACAAAAGTGCATGGATATTTTAGTGGATGTGTTCGGGTACATGCCRTTGATCAAGTCACAAGTCAGGCTGGATCCACTGTTGTATAAAGACCCTGTTTCRAATTTACGTAAGAGATACAGACTGCTGGAATCTAAGTAGGGTTATTTAAGAATTATTAAAAGGCAAATGTTATGGTGTGGTGCAAAAATCATGTGAAAGGTTTGTAGACTAAACTTAGACTAACTTGGTAAATTGAGAAGTTTAGAATCAAAGTCTCCTGCTTGAGATGAAATTGAAGATATAAAATGTTTACCGCTAGTTCCCTCTATATAAAATGCAGCTAATGCTCTGCCAGTATCCTTTACAAGCTTTTGCCTATGGTTTTKAAGATATAGATACATCATATTATAAGCAAACACTACTGTTAGTACATGTAACACTTTGTTTTCCTCTTATGCTCTTTAAAAAGAGATACAGTATTAGGAAAATTTACATTTGACAATGAGTACGAGTATAAGATTTAGTATGAGTACAAGTTTTAAAAATGGACTTCAGTGAGTCCAATATAATGTTGATACTCGATTTTAGTTGAATTCTTGTTTTTGTCTTCCGCGTTTCCCTCTATTTACAAAAATACAATCCATGATTATTAACAGATGGATCTTGTATTTTTTGATAAATCTAAAGCTCCCTATTATAAGATTTGAGCAGAGGAATATTAATTTTCCACAATGAACAATCTATAACTCGGCCACAATAATGCTGTGTGACTATGTCATGACTCTTTAATCTCATTGACAGACTTTTAGTGATTGCATGTAAGGTTGATAGATTTATTATTTGACATAACTGGACTGTAATATAAAATGAAGAGTATTTTTAAAGCAAATTGTATATTTTTATATCAGATAGTAGGATTATAGCCGTGTAAAATGGTGGGTTTAAATTCAAGCGATGCAGATGTAGAAGCTTCTAGGCTTGTATATATCTCTAGCTTTGACTTTATGGCCACCATTTTTGACAAAAAGTATCGTAGCATCAGAAGAAGTTTAGGTTTCTATGAAAGAGTTTCCATTCCATAATCATTCACAATTTTCTTTCTGTGTGGCTTTCATGCATTGCACAAAATGAGATCACAGTTTTTATACATTGAAAWGAACTGTCTATTAAAGACAGGGATTTCCAAAGATGTTTTTACCAGTGATTTACATAGTGGACATGAATATCCTCTAGCTGTGTTCGTACTCCTTGGGTTTCCTTTGTAATGAGTTAACACAGGAAACCCAATATCAGAGACAGTCTCTCTCCAAGCCTCCCCTGCAGACAACACAGAAAATCCAAGGGTAAAGTGAAACTGCAGAGGAGGGATAGACCAAGAGTAGAACTTTGTGTAAATACAAGTTAGAATAATTATCATATAGAAATAGAAAAAAACCTTTTATACGATAGTCTATTATTATATTGTAATAAATATTAATTTGAAAAGCAATAAAAAGCAATTTCATGGAATATATTTGTCATATTTATTTGTACAGTTAGTTGTATTTTGCCATTGAATCATAAGATATCGTCCTACACATGAGGCCCATCGAAATAAAATAATCTGGTAAAAAAGTGAGTCATTGAAATAATTCATCATATAATTAAAATCTCTATATTTCTCCAGCACATAAAGTTGTTATTTTCACTATAACACATTCATGTTTTAAAACAACACTTGCTTTCATTGACAATTATATGATAAACAGAATATTACATGGTCACCTGGGGATACAAATTTTATCTACTCATGTTGAAAATCTCTCACTTGTTTGCTACGCTCACTCATGACATATCTTTTCAACACTCAAAGATAAAATCCATATGTCCGTGCACCCATGTAATATCCTCTATTAATTATTATTAGTTGATTATCAACCTGTGAATTAGGTAGTATTATCAGGGTCCGTGCAGGTCCTTAAATCCTTGAAGAGTACTTGAATTGAAAACTCATTTTCAAGGGCACTTGAAACTCCTTGAAAATTTGAAAATTTTGAAAAAGTCCTTGTCATGAAAACTCCTTGAAAAAGATAGATCTCTATCACGAAGAATGAGCGATCTCTGAATTATTCTGTTCGGCTGAAGTTGAGACAATTTTGGTCCTTGAAAAGTCCTTAAATTTCGTTTTTAACTCAAAGAGTTATAGGAGGGAGATAGATGATGGTGTGTGAGGTGAGATGGACTAGTTAATAGGTCACTTATTTTTTCTGTAAACATACGGGCATTTGGAAATCCGTAACCAAGATGGCCAGGTGTCTTGATTTTAAACACACAAAATGTGATTCTTGTATAAGCTTCTTACCAATTAATCTGTTGATTTCAGAAGTCGTTTCAGGAGATAGTGTCAATATGGCTCATAGATACAGCATTAATTCTATTACGATGATTTCAAGGATTATTCCAGTATATGTCGATCAGGATTTAATGCTCATCGATTCATATAAACTTTATCCTTCGTAAAAAATCGATGCACGGACAACACTACAACAAGTAAGAACGCAAAATATAAATTTTAACGGTCAGCATTCAAAGTGAAAGTATCATCACTTCAAACTATGAAATTGTGATGGTGTTGATAATTCATTGTCGATATCGTTAAGGTGTTACGGATGCATATAAATTATTAAATTCAATTAATGTCAAGTTCAATATTGTTATTTTATAGATTTTTTGTCGAAATTAGACCACATCTGAACAAAGTCTGAGGCTTCATACTGATTTATGTCCACGGTATACTTGTCTAACAATCTTCGAGTTGTGTCGCCATTGGCGGCTTGATTGATACTCTGCACGGACCCTGTATTATACAGTAGCTACTACATGTAGTTCCATATTATACGGATCAGGGTTTCCTTTGATTTCATTGAAGCACAATAAACCATCACGACATATTTGACATGTATTTTGCTAAAATTGTAATCATATTTTTTTAAAAAAATTCAAAAACATTTATAATKAATATATATTATCATGCAGTTCTAAAGAACACAATTTTCTAAACATTTTGTTTAATAATACCGTAACTATTTAAATAGGTGACATTTGAGCCTTTTGTTTTGAGGTCAAGTCCGGGTGCCAAAAATCAACAATAAGAATAAGTCTAAATGTTGTTCCGTTATGCCACACTTCATGTTCGATGGAGTCGTCAATCACTAYAACTTTGCCCTCTTCCCAAGTCCTAGAAAATGGGAATGAAAAGAATTAAAATGGGAATGAAAAAGAAGATGGAAGACAAAATGGGAAATGAACATGAGAATGGAATCATGAATTGTGGAATCGAAAAGCAAAAGGTAAAAGTASATTCTCCATAAAGAATGGAATATTCAAAGAACTGTAACAATAAGTACCTGGTTACTTCTCCCACTCGGATAGCGACAGATTTAGGAATGACCAATCCAAGGTGAGCCCTCAAACGGCAATTTGTGGGGCCTGTGTGGGGCCACACATGTGTCCCTGGATGCATGATGGAGAATTTCACCTGCCCCCTCTTACAGCCAGTAGATTCAGGCATAGTATCTAAAACTGCACAAGTTTTTGGTGTCTTTTTACAATTTGCTGTTAGCTTTCTTCCTTGTTGATACATTGTAAATTGTCTCCAGTCGCCTTTTTCTCTCAGRTTTTCTTCTTCTGGAATGAATCCTCCTGTTTTTTGGTCCATTATTGCCAGGCCTTCTTCTCTTATTGTCTTCCAGTTCTTTTCAAGTTTTCTGAATTTTTGAGAAAAAAAAAGGTTGGTGAATCTAAAGAGAAGTAAAAACAAGAAGATGCAGAAGGAAATTGTTTTGAAAATTTACGGAATAATAATGAATTGGATGTAGGAACATAGTAATTACCATGAGACTTCATTAATGCTTTTTAACTTTTTTTTATCACCAAACATATTTTGGCATACTTACAATATTACAAATTCTGAATAAGTTTTTCAGGGGTCGAAATAACGGACATACATATATGCAGGACAAAATGTCCTTCCAAATTCACTTTTGGAAGGTCATGTCGAATTTGAAAGGACAAAAACTTTATTATACTATAATTATTTTCTTTTAATTTATAGGTTTTTTGTATTCAGAAAGATCGGCAAGCATTTTAATGGATTGAAAAAGAAATTAGCAAATTGGGAATTGATTGTTTTTTTTATTTGTCTAAAAATGTGGCAGGTCAATTTGTCCTTTGGCCGGTCATCTAGCAAATTTGGAAGGACATTGTCCTTTGACTGGCCGTTATTTTGAACCCTGGTTTTTGCAATATTGTATATATATATCCTGAATTTACTTGTGCTAACTATAGAGATAACTATATAGTGTCTGACAGTGTATTTATCAACTTGTAGTATAATTGGTAAAAGTCACACTCACTGATGATAGTATAAGTTCATCTGGTAATAAAAAGTTAAAAAGTATTGTAATCCAGAATTTGCTGGGCAAATTTTTTCAAGGCATAAACTATTAATAATAAATCATAATTATGTACCTTATAGCATTGATGTAACCTGTATCCTCAGGTTCCCACCATGGTCTTGCTCTAAGTGGAGTATCAGCATTGTACAACGAACGTTGAAGAGGTGACAAGAAAATACCCTTATTAGCTGCTTCAACGTAAACATTGTATGCCTGAAAATATAAAAAGTTTATACACCCTTTTAATAAGTTCCAAGTTATTGTTTTCTCCGCACTTGACGTCAAATTTATTCTTTTGAAATTTTTACAATACAAAAGGAATTCAAAAGAATAAATTTGACGTCAAGTGCGGAGAACGTAATACCTCTGGACTTATTAAAAGGGTGTATAATAAGTATTGAGCAATGAATGTCTAGTGACAGCCTGATTATTGTTGGGCATCATCAGGTGCATGCCTGGCATGCACCTTATCCAAGACAAGATGTCAAAAAAGGAACCCCAGATGTAAAAGCTGAAAAACCATAACCTTTAGTGTGTGGCACAAACATGTATAGCAAATACAGGGGCGTACCCCCCAGGGTGTTGAACAAGACCCTTTAAATTTCTATGCAGCATGTTGCTACAACATATCTTCTGCTACCCAGCTAGGTGTAATCTTCTCAGTTGCCCTCAGTGAGGAATGAAAGACAGAAAATTGTATGTTTTTAATCTCAAAATCCGATGAAAAMCACTTTTTGATATTATTGTTACCTCTTGCGGTTTTCCAACTCTGTTCAAAGCATCGCCAAGGTGAAAGTAAAATCTTCCATCGTCTGATCCAGCTTCTTTGCTGTGTATCCCATCTTGGAGCAATGGTATTGCTTCSTTGTAGTTTAACTCTATTTTGAGAATGAATCCAAGATGTGACTTGGCAAATCCATTGTTTGGTTGAAGTTTTAAAATCTAATAATCATGAAGGAATTTGATTAAATTAGTTAAATTTGTTTACTTTAACAGTATCCTCTAACTGACCTTTCTAAAGACGTTTTTCCCATCATTATTATTGCCATACATTAAATGACTGACTCCAAGTTCCTTTAATATTCCTACATCATTTGGAAAAAGACCTGACAACTTTTCATACGTCGCAGCAGATTTTCTCATCTTTCCAAAAAAGTTTAACCTCTCAGCCATTCTTGACATTGCTAGTCGTTTGAGCTCTAGAGGGCAGTCTTGTAGGTCAGWGACTCTTTCATAAGCACTAATGGCTTCTTGTAGTATTTCATTGCTTCTTCGCAGTTCTGATAATTTGTCTAATGCTTGTGCTTGTCCATACATAGCTCTTGGACTTTTGGGATATTGGTCAATTAGACTTCTAAACCTAAAGTGAGAGATTATTATAATAATTCAATCATTGAGTTGTCACTTGATGAAACTAAAAAAATATATATATAATAAATTGTAGTTAATTAAATAAAATATAGTAATTAAACTGATCAAAGATATTTCTGTTTGGCTGGTCAAATCTTTGCTACATATCAAATAAAGTGCTTTAGTCATYTTGTGGCATAAGTTAGCATCAGCAGGTAAAATGCCATCTCTATATCTCCTTACAGAGGCAGTACAGTATTTTATCAATCATATAATTATCTATGAAATACCAATATTTCTCCATTTCGTAAAATTGATATTTTCACATTCGAGGTTTCTCTATATAATGCAAGTAAAAAAAAAAGGTATTTTACGACATAATTTGCTTTCATATAAAATTATATGATAAATAGAATATTACATGTTCGCTTGGGGATACGAATTTTATCTTTTTGCTACGCCTCGTGAGAGATCTTTTCAACACTCGAAGATAAAATCCGTATCTCCACGCGTCCATGTAATATCCTCTATTTCTTAGTTGAGAGATTAACATTGTTACCCCCCCCCCAACCTCTTAATAAGGGCGTTTATCTCAATGATTGAAAGGAATTCCCCCATGGATGAGGTCCCCCATGGATGAGGACTAAGGTTTTTTGAACTAATGAAATTACCAGAATCTTTTTAATCAATGAATCAAATTTTACTTATTCAAATGACTAAATATAGACCAACAAACCTCTTTAAAGCATCATCAATTTTTCCCTTTTCAAGAAGTTTATTGGCTTTTTTGAGTTCATTTGATATYCTTGCATCAAGCTTGTTCGTTATAGACCCAARTGGATCCRGACTTTTTGCATCTTTTTTATCTTTTTTAACTTTATTTTCAGATTTGACTGCWTCTYTTTTAGCTTCTTCTGTTGGTAAAGCTTCTTTCTTTTCTGTCTGTGGTGTTGGTTGATATGTTTTTCTATAATATGTCCCTATAGCTATAAATACTGCAATTATTAGAACTASGACTGCTGTCCATATCAGAAATGATGGAATAGTTGGACTTGGAGGCTTCTTTTTACGGATTTCTGGTGTACCATTTGCTGCAAATAATAACACAAGATGACATGTCAATATGTAGTTTTATTTAGAATATATGATCTATTTTGACAAATTTTTTGCATTATGTTCTGGTTATGAAATGCGCTCTTGTTATGACCATGCACTAAAATGTTCCATAGTTTTGTGGTTTGTCAATTTACTTCAGTATGTTTTTTTGTTTCTGTTTTTTTAATTTTAGGAATCTATCTTGTCCTGAATAATTTAAATGATGATATGAATTTCTTCAGTGATTTAATTATTAATTCTGTTTAAAAACAAATCAAAATTTAATTTAACCCCARCTATTTTGTTCAGCTGTATAAACATTGCCTTCAATGGATATGTCCCACTGGAAATATAATGTTTCAAGAATGATTGAGGATAACTGCTTATAAATCACATTTACTTCCTTGTTTCCCATTTCATTAACACCATTCTTTCCATTTGTTCTTTCATTTCCCATTTCAACAATTATTCCTACTCCTTAATGAGCTGTTTTTGTTATCGCAGTACATGAAAATTGACTACAATTTAGCGGAAAAAAACTAGTAAAATACCTCACGGCCTTATGAAAACATTTTAGAGAAGTGGAGAATTTAAGTGGCCTTTATTAGGATGAGGTACAATTTTTATTGAGACTTCATTGACATACTTCCTTTWTTGAATTGATAATGACGCAAGTTCAACAGAAAGCAGCTGGGTTTTACAGGTGGGATGATAAATTAGTTTAAATTTCTGTTGGTGAGCTTATGTTATAAATAACTGTCTCRCACCAGTATCTTAATATTATTTTGAAATTAAGTTACTTCCTAAKAGAAATTAATTCTGGGAAAAAATTTAAATTAAGAAATATCAAGATTTTAGATCATCAAAATGCACTGTAGAAGTACAAATAAGAAGATATTCAAACCTTATTGTGATTGACAGCAAATTTAGGAAAGCCGTCAGCTTCGAGACAAGATTGACCTCGCGCCAAATTAAGACTACCTTTTGATACATCTAAGTAGCAAGAATGAGAGATCTACTCAAGAAATAGAGGAATGGCGCCATAACAAGAGAGATTTTAAACTCGACAGCGATCGCAAAATAAGTTAATATTCAAATCGTGAAGGTAGCGCGTAGCAACAACTGCACGGTTCACGAATTCCAACAATTCCCCAATGAATTCAAAACAGTATACAGTTTTGCTCTCCAAAACATACCTTTTTTAGGACTAACAGCTGTTCTCCGCTTTGAAGGAGCCATTTGATTTAGCTAAAATGCGTGCAAAACTCCACGAAAGGTGCCAAACATCCCGAAGTCATTCAAACTTGTGACACGTCGGCTCGATGACAAGGACTGGGACCTACGAGTCAGTGTGGYGTRACAGTGTAACACAGGACTACGGATTTCTACGGACTGCGATTGCGGTCATCGCTCATTGAAAGTGGGATTGTCTTAAATAATAAAAGAACGATAAGAAATTATCACAAAATTGCTGGTTTTACAAAAGGCGCTGAAATGTGTCTCAACAACAAAACTCTAACCTACAAACTGCTCTGCTAAACTGCGGCCGGGCTCCCTTGCAGCAAATGAGTGTGACTCTGCTCTCACGGCTGCAAGCGAGGCTTTGCGCTTTCAACTTAATGATTCATGGGTCATGTGGGTGCTTTGTTAATACCGTTTTATTCAGTTTTGAAAGCAATTTGAAGTCTCCCAAAAATCTRCAACTATTTTTTTTGGACGCGTTATACATTGTTCATTTTTAAAGGAAATAGTTTTGCTAGTCAATGACGCAGGAGGTCATACAGTTTGGATCAGTCTCTTTTTAGCGTTTTTACTCTACAAAAACCCGTTTGCCTTGACAGATCGAGATGAGCCACAGGCGGGAAAATCCAAATTGTTTAACAAAGGCTCGTTTTCATTGGAGTCGTCGCTCGTTTYACCCCGCCCCTGGGCTTTATCAATTGATATCTTTAAGGGATTTTTTCCCATTCGAAAAGTAGAAGCTCTTTTTTGTGCCCTTTTYTCCGCTTCCAACAAGAGATTTGCCCAGTAGCAGAGGTCAACCTCGGGATTATTGCCGCCGAATTCTGCTGGAAGAAAATCTTGAGGGATGAATTCGTGTAACGTTGATAGGTTGTTGCCGTGAAGAATAACCTGATGCAACAAACAAAAGAAGAAATAAAGTTAGCTTACGTAGTGGGATAAGAGACTCCAATGAAATTGTCATATCGTCTRACTGAGTTTTGTCTTACCCTGTCATGTACATAATCTTTCATGAAGGATTTTGTCAAGCTGATAAAGGCATTAACATACCAAGGTTGATTGATCAAGTGGACATTCTTAAACCACACTGTAGAGCACTCCTGGAAACATCAAGAAAGTAAYATTTAGTACACGTCACTACAAATCGAATACAAACCAGATTTAAATTGTAAATTTGGTATTAAACTTGGGTAGTATCCTTCGCATACGTTTTCGTGAGTACCCGGGACAGGAAGCCCGACACGAAAACGGATGCGAAGGAGACTAAAATCCTTAGGTAAAATTTGGTAAGCAAGATACTGGTTACTATATCAGTGCCCAGGTCTGCATACGTTGCGCGAGTCTCTAAAGCGATCGGGGAAACACCGGAGAGCCAGTGAGAAATGGATGGGAAGTGGAATATCACTATAAGATCTCATCTCGTTTTCCCACTCAAACGTGCCTTCATATTCTCACTTCTGTTTTCACTGCCATCTCCGTTCTATTTGTTTGTTCATTTTCTTTCTTTCGGTATTTTTTATTAACGATTCTTTTATCTAAACATTTTATTCATTTAACTAACTTGTACATTTGCATAACCATTTTTTTTCTTCCTTGTCTCATTTTACTTTTTTTTCCCTGCTATCCCATTCAATCGAATTTTTCACTTCGGCCTTTGCAACTATTTCTTCTTTCTCAATCTCTTTAGCAGAAAGCTCTCTACTCGAACGGTTTCCCCTGATCTGGCTCCACTCTTGGTCTACTACAATCAATAATCTCATATGTAAATAATATACCCACTAATTCATGTGGGAAACAACGAGATCAACGCTTACCTGAAACACAGCAACAATCGTCCTCAAAGCACGAATCGTCAATTTGGCTGTGTGATTGGTTGTCCAGCCACTAAAGTCAACGAGTAACACAATGCCATTTACTCGAACTCGACGACTTTTGCTCAAATGTTCCAAACTCAAAATGACAGCTTTCAACAGTGTATCTATATCAAAAGTCTCAACGTCCCATGTTCCAGGAAAGAGGACCATTATTTTAGAGCCATTTGAGTCAGTGTTTGGCAAAACGCAAGGAAAACCGTCTTCCACCGCAAAACGAAGCTCTGAGGCTGTCAAATTTTCAAAAAAGTGCGAGTATTTTTCGCGAAATTCAAAGTAGTTGCATAGTAGCTCAAATGAATTGTCTAAATCAAATCTTCTTGCTTGTAAAACGTCCAGTAAAAATGCGTCGTCGCAGTTTTTAAAGTCAACACTTTTTAATGGCATCAGATCCCGTAGTTTTTGGACGTCTTCGTTCATGCGGTTTAAATGTTCTTGCTCCTCATCGTCCGACGTTTTTTCCAGAGAATCGCCGTTCTCTCCTGACGCCATGTACTCAAACCTGATTAATATAAAGWAGTTTTCTAGACGAAAAGAAAATAACAGTTCACTTAGTCAAAGTCGGACCTTTTTATGCCGAAAATTTAGACACASTGACATTTTCCAACTCGAAAGGGAAGGCAATTTTCAGTATCATGGATACGAAAATACATCTAAAAGAATGCGAGTTAACGTTTCCATCAAAGCTCTCAGGTGTTCAGTGTGCGTTCAGCATTTGAATATCAATCCTTGATTTCATTAATTTTCTTCGCTTCGCCGGGTTGCAGTTTTCCGGCCTTTTTTAGGCTGGCTGAGGGCGCTTTCCCGCTTGAATAATCACATGCTCAAGGGGTCCCCTATGGCAAACATCCATCTAAACATCATATTAGCTTAAAAATATATAAAAAATAAGTTAAAATCGAATATTAAAACAAAATACGACGCATTTGTACATTTGTTTTATTTGTTTTGGTATACCCAGAAATCCTTGCGACTAATTTACATATCGGCCACATCCAAGATGGCGTCTTTACTGAATGCAGACGGCGATCATGTTCTCATATCTTGTACTTGTTCTGCCCTTTCTCCTCTAACAAGGCTGTATTTTTGTCGCCACTGCATTAAATTAAGATGTCAGCTTTGTGTTTCACACGAGGTATTTATAGAAAAAGTCGTTTTGTGCTGTGTTTTTGAACATCTTACAATCACGACCCAAAGACACAAGCTAAAATTGTAAGCTTATTTTTTTCATTTCACTCGAATTGTCTTTGAATATTTCATCAGGTCGACTCTTATTATTGTCCAAATTGCTTAGAAAATATGCCATCAGCTGAAGCTAAGTTAAAGAAAAATAGGTAAGCCACTTCTTTTGTACATTTTTCTAAAGAAAAGAACTTAAGCTTAAGATAATAAGAATAATAAGAATTTTTCTACAGTAAAGCTTACATAAATTGATGATTTGAACAAGTGAATTCATTGTATTCGAGTGATATTTGATTGCCATTACTATGTGAATATCAGTCAAGAATTCATATTAATTGGACACTCATTTAACTTATTCAATTCCTACCATAATTTTTCCCTTTTTCTCATTTTCTATCCCATTGTTTATTTTGTATTCTTCTATTACCGTTAGATGTGCCAATTGCTTTGATTGCCCAAGCTGTAGCAAYACACTRTCAACAAGAGCAACRGCTRTTGCTATTCCATCAGARGATAAYAARACTCCTCAAGCCAAGAAAGTCTATTAYCTTGCATGTGGGTTTTGCAGATGGTCCTCAAGGGATGTTAGCATGGAAGATAGAACTGTTGGTAAGAACCAGTGTCTTCCCCTCCCA